AAAACAAAACCCCTTAGCGCCCCGGGGCGGGAGTGGGGGACGGCCCTATGCAGACAGCAACAGCACCGGCTCTACGAAGTCCGAATTGAATCTTTTGGTTCCCTTGAATAAGAATTGTTGGGCGCGGCGAAGCGAGCGCTTCTAGCTGTTTCGCTTGCTTCTTTCTTATTGTGGCGGCTATTATAGCGTGGCTGAAATGACCGAAAAGCGAGATGAACCTTTCAAATCAATTGATATAGATGGCCTGATCTGTTCTGGTAGATCGAAAGGGTATCTATCAATAATAAGGGTTGACCTCTTTCTATCTATTGATGATACAAGATATCTATCTATTCTGGATCCATCAGAAAGAAATCGATATGTATCTGATGGAGTCTACATCGTATGTAGAGCGCCCAAGCGCTTTTTTGGCCAGCTCAATTCTATTATCCATCGGTCCAATGCACTGGCGCATCTCATGGGGGGGGGAAGCAAATGTAGTTAGTTGTCTTGTTGTTGTTCGCCGCCTCGACACATTCCCCGGCATCGTCCCACACAGAAAGAAAGAGCGTGGAGCCCCAGCCCGACCTGTAAGTCCGCTAACGTAAAGTGAGGAGTTGAGCCTGAACTGGCGAACCGAAGTCACTTTCGTAACCATACTTCCTACAGCTAACACGTGTTCGGTCCAGCGGGAACGCGCAGCGCAAACGAACATGAGCTGCTTTACCGAATATCCCCCGCTGGCCATCGGGGACCTAGTGGTAAGGCCATGATCCGCAGTGCAGGGGAAGGGATCACTCATTCTTCTATTGGGGACAGGTGCACGAACGACAACTCCAAATGTCAGACATCCGTCACCTATACCTACCGTTTAGGTGGCACCAGCGAGATCCAGCTAAGGTAAGGAACTTCGTGTCGCGGCTGCTCCACTCCGCTGCGGTCTTTTGAACAGAACTTCGTTGCCTTCCCGCGCGCGAAACGAATGGGCGCAGTGTCGTGGGTCAGTTTTGGGGCGGGGGGCAGAGAGAGACCAGAAGAATGATTCATTTGGATCAACGAGCCATTCGCGATTCAGTAGAATGTCTCTCTATCCATATCTATTCTATCTTTATATGACGGGCCATAAAAAAAAGAAGTATTTTTTTATGGCATGTGAGATGATCGCGCCTAGTAGCCACATATCAGCTGCGCTCAATTTGCGGGATTTCCGTTGGATCTGATCTTTCGCTTTGACGAATTCGGACCTAGCGAATGGACCGTAGAACGGAAAGCGCCTTCTAAACAACTCGGTAGAAGGGAAGGGGCCTATGTATTTGCATGACCCCTGCGGATTTGACCCTACCTACACCCGGAGCCAATCCCCTAGCGGTCCTGCCACCACGCCGCAGAACAGGAGCTCGTGTGGAACCTTGGATTTCTGGCGTAACAGCGGTGGAAGTTATAAAAATATTACGGCCACATAACATAGGGGCCTACGCTAAGGTCGGCCAAAATATGGACACCCGAAGGGCCTGGCACGCACAATCCTATCCTATCCGAGCCCGTCATTGCATGCACTTCGGACAGCCGTCTGTAGCATCATAAAGAGCACCTCCCTTTCGAGGTACCCAAATGGAACGGGCTTTATTTGTGTTGTTGGTTGGTCTTTCTCAACGTGGTCTATAGCACGAAAAACCATTCTTTACAAGATAGGGCCGTTCACATGAAAGATAAGAAAAAAATCCATTCTTCATGGTCGGGCGCATTTCTCCAAATCCTCCAGGATCACAAGTGGAACGCTAAGCAAGGGTGGGGAGGCTGCGAGCTCCATGTCGAACAGAAAGAAGCAAGCAGGGGGTGTTGCCATAGCGTGTCGGGGAGCAAGCGTAGGCAACCAAACTAAATAAGGCTAAAAAAAAAGTAGCTAGCGTTTTTAAGCTGGCTGCCTTTTCTAGCGCGCGTACTCTTCTGTGGAGTCGCACGGAACGAGCCTTGTCTTCCCTCCAACGACTAGCTCCCTTTTCTTGTTCCGGTCACCCTTCTCTTGCCGTGGAAGGACTTTTGCCTGTGGTGTGGTCCAACCCGTGGGCGGAGTCGCCCTCATCCCCCCATTGCTCAGTGCTCCCTGCAGCTTCGCTGGGCTTTACCCGCGTGGACGCGGGCTTCTATAAGAGAATGAAAAGCTCTCTCTTTACAATAAAATGCGAACCGCGCGGAGCCCACCCTTTTTTGTTTTCTGCCGCCACTGGGTGGCCGCTGGGGAAACACAGCCCGGCCGCCTGTCGGGAAAGGGGGGTGGGGGGATGGGCCTACCTATCCTGAGGGAGCATGTTGAGAGGTTCCATATGCCGAGCCAAAGGGCAGAACTTCAGTGCGTGATCGTAGTATGTCACCTCGTCTCGTCCTCGCAGCATCGAAGAGTACTTATGCACTATGTTCCGATTCACTGATAAGGAAGATAGAGTTGGGGTGGAGGTCTACAATGTGATACTATAGTATAGTATGCCCCGGGGGGAAAGATGCGCAACTCAAAACGGAAGCAGGAAGCGTGTTGTAAAAAATGTCGGAGGTTACCAGATCTCTGAGACTACCATCGATCCGATAGAGCGGATCGACCAGAAAAGAAGTGGAGTTAGAAAGCCGTATGATAGGTGGTAACTATCTTGTACGGTTCGGAGGGTAAGCGGCGTACTCTGGGGGAATATTAGGCTCTATCGAACATACAGGGAATTGGGGGTAGCATTTTACTTATGTTAAGTCATGGACTGGTTTCTTCAGCCCTTTTTCTATGTGTTGGTGTTCTATATGACCGACATAAGACTCGACTTGTTAGATATTATGGAGGTTTAGTGAGCACCATGCCGAATTTCTCTACCATTTTCTTCTTTTTCACTTTAGCCAATATGAGTTTACCCGGCACTAGCAGCTTTATTGGGGAATTTCTAATCTTAGTAGGAGCTTTCCAAAGAAATAGCTTAGTAGCCACATTAGCAGCGCTTGGGATGATTTTAGGTGCGGCGTATTCCCTTTGGCTATATAATCGTGTGGTTTCTGGAAATTTAAAACCTGATTTCCTCTATAAATTCTCCGATCTAAATGGCAGAGAAGTTTCCATATTTCTACCTTTTCTTGTTGGAGGGGCGACCGTCCGTTGAACTACCAAAAAAGGGTCAACCAATGTGATCATGACATTGTAGGTGCTTGCGATGGGACGGATGCAACTTCCCTCATAAGTAATGGGTGGCATAGCCCGTAGCAGAAGTCCCCTTTTTTTATCCATTTTTTATTACCACAGAGGGGCCCGCCCTGGTGGGACCGAGAGAAAGAAAGGACGGGGGAGGGGGGGGCGACCATACATGGCAATTCTCGACCGTGTCTCCGAGGGACAGTTGAACGAGCGACTCATGAATGCGTCCGGGTCGGACGAGCCAATAACTCGAACGTGTTCGGTCAGTTTTTTGAGCAAGAATCACAGCGTTACCTTACCTTCACCATGATACGGACTCCAAGTTCTTATGGAAGAGCACGAGGAGTTTCCTTCAATATGATGATGAGAATGGAAACCAGAAGCACGACTGGGTCTTCGTAGTCTGGGATCAAACTTATATATCAGTCACAGTAACGTAAGCATGAGACTTTTTGGTAGTACCGGTGAACCAGATGGCCGCGGCAAGGGAATCTGGGATGGAGGACTCGTAATATCTCTATAGATCTGGCAAAAGCGAAAGACCCCTAACGTCAGGGGCTGACCACTGAGCTCACTCAGGCCTCGCTGGGCGGGCCAGAGTGGGTGCGAGCTGGAATTGCCATAGCTTATGGTTAGAGCAATAGGAAAGGGTCCAGCAGAGAGAACAGTCAGGATAACGAGCGCGGAGCCCGCTTGGCAGGCGGCAGGAGCTGCGGGCAAGTGCTTGCTTGGTAGGCCAACAGCCCTGTGAACCGGGCGGGGCACTCGACGAAAGGGGGGCACACTGAGCAAGTACGAAAAATTGGCCCCGCGGAGCTTTCAAAAAGAAAAGCAAGGACCACTACGGGAGGTCGAACCACGGACCGGAGGTAGTAGAACATGATGCGTACCTGTCAATATTGGATCAAACAATAGGGGACCGTAGCACTGACTTTTTTTCAAGACAATAGGTACTGTTCCCTACCGAGACAAGGGACACTCTCAACGGATCCTCCATGCGCTGTGTTGGGCATACCATAGTTCTTCCGTGCGTCTTTATCGTGGCGGAAACAGAACAAGAGGGAAAGACCCGGCTGACTCGCCCAGGGCTCGAGGGCGAGCCATTCGAGAGTGAGTCGAATTCTGTTTACGTTCTCGGTTTGGTTTGGGCCCCTCTCGATCTTTTGCGTATAAGGGAGGGGGGAAGGAGTCTAAATCTATGGACATTAATGAACCACCATTGATGGACGTTGCACATGACACGATCAATTCGACTTGACGGTCCGGTGCTAATAGAAGTCGCTTACTCTCCGTCTAGCGAAGGTGCCAGGGGCAGGGCTTTTTTGTAGTAATAGTGGGTGGGTCTCATGGGATTTCATCTATGCCGGCCGTCAGAATCAAACGAGGGTCGAAGGACCATTCGATTCATTAAGGGGGACGGCCCATTTGTAAGGCGGGGGCCCTGATGGACGACATCCCCCGGCCTCGATTCTTTTGCATAGTCTGGGGGCCGGCCGCAGCAGAGCTGCAGGGCATAGCGGCACCCTCGCCTGGCGCCATTCTCGGACCTAGCAGCAGATGGGCGGGCCGGGCCTGAATGAAGAGCGGACCACGCACTCAGACCGGAAGATCCCAGTTGTCCTGGACTAGACAAGTACGTAGAGATCTTCGTGGAACCGAGGAGGGAGTCTCAATCGATCTTTTCTAGGATTCAAACTCACGCCACGCACGAAGATTTTTCTATTGATAGAGTTAAGGGCTCGGCTCCCCTGACTCTAAAAGGTTAGGTTACTACCAACTTGCCTCTACGGAAGAGGTGTACTTTGTATTGTCTGGGGGTTATATTATGGGACGGAGTACAAGTTGAAGAAAAAAAATATTAAGTACATATTAGTTATAGCTAAGAAACGGTGATATTGTTTTTCATATATAACCCTTAAATTGATACCCGAGATCTTCTATAGCTGCTGTAGTAGATATATCCATTTTTGCAGTAAATTAATTATTAAAAAAATAGGGCACAATATAGCACGAGTAGTGCACGAGACAACAAAGAAATTATTGATGAGGTAGCTAGCTTTAAGCTGTTGTGGGAGGTCATCGCCTCACCAACTGCATGCTAAATATATCGATAGATATATTATGCTTTGTTATATTCTGTCTTGCCTAACCGGCCGCATCTCCCCCTTCCTCCACTCACTTTAAGCATCGATCACTGCTTGGTACTACTACGTCGCTTAATCACTTCTTGATTCCTTTGCTAACCTACTACTCCACTACTTGGCCTGCCACAGTTTGATAGCTAGCTTAGCTAGCTAGCGATCGATCGACGTCGTCGTTGATCCATCGCCACCGGCGCCGGCGGCGATGTGCCTCCCGTTCCTCTGCGGCGGTGACGACCCCGTGAAAAATAGCGAGGTACGGCCGCCGGCGAGGCACCCGAGAGAAGGTCCAAACGACGGCGACGGCGGCCACAAGCCATCACCACCTCCGCATGCCGGCGGCGCCGTCAACGGCAACGGGGGAGCTGCTCCGCCTGCTCCGGCGACGTCGCCGGACACCGAGGTCCGGGCGCCCACCTATGGCGATAAACAGATCAGTCCTCCGAAGGAAGGCGCAGCTGGGAAGCCGCCTATGGTGGTCCCGGCGGCAAATCATCCGCAAGCTCCCACCGGCGAGGAGGCTAAGAAGGCTCACGGCGGCGGCGGCGCCGTCGGTCGCCGCAATGGAATTTCGTCCACGGTACTCACGGCGCCGCCGCCAGTGGGACCCATGGCTGCTCCAGCGACGACAGTGAAGGATGCTCCTCCTGCTGCTGCTGCTGCTGCCGCCAACGACGTCCATGGCGATGCTGATGAGCAACACCCTGGCTATGGTGATCACGGCGAGGTCGACGACCGCAAGCCTCGACGCAGATCATGGTTGTGAGGTGAGCAATGGCACGCAACTACATATTGGCTGTGCTGTGAATTGTGATCCTCGTTCTTTATGCATATGCCGCTCTCGGCGCTGCTGGCTGGTGATCAACGATGCATATATACATATGTGCTATATATATTTTTACAGGTTTGCAAAAAATAAAGAGACATTAGTTGCTAATTGTTGTTCTTGTGCCCTAACTAGTTTGGGTGTAATATTGTGTTAATTGTTGTATTTTAGTATGTGCACTTGTATGGGTGTTGATGAATCATGGACATATATCAGTATTGCATGATCTCGATTATAATGCAGAGCAAAATCTGCAAATTTGTTCTTTTTGTTTTATGGAAGGATGTAAATTAATCTTGTCAACTTCCATCTGTTTTTGTATTAGTTATCTGTGTTTAGTTTCATCTCCATCATATCATTGACGACGATTTAATCGAACTAGCTAAGCTTGCTAGGCAGTAGAATCATGGTCTCATGGATAACTGGTGGAGAAACCATCTTTGGTCGGTCGACCAGATTTTACAATAGTTCCGGTTGTATTAAAAACCGGAACTAAAAATATCTTTAGTCCCGGTTTAAAAGCTATAGGGTACTTTTTCAATCTTTAGTACCGGTTGGTGTTACCAACCGGGACTAAAGATCTATTTGTAGTCCCGGTTGATAACACCAACCGGGAAAAAAGATCGCCATTCGCTTTACTCTCGGTTGGTGTTACCAACCGGGACTAAAGATCTATTTATAGTCCTGGTTGGTAAAACCAACCGGGAGTAAAGATCGACGCGGAGATCAGAGAGGTGTGCGCGATCGGATCGAGGCCAGTACCTCCTCCTCTCCTCAACCTTATCTCCTCCTCTCATTTTTAACTCCTCTCCTCAATCTTATCTCCTCCTCTCATCCTTATCTCTATTCCTCTCCTTCTCCTCTCCTCCTCTCTACCGCCAGGGGCGCGAGGGCGGCAGGTCGCGGAGGGCCGGCCGGCGCGGCAGCGGGGCGTGGTGGGCCGGCCGGCGCGGCGGCTGGCGGCTACGCGGCGGCGGGGCGCGGTGGGCCGGCTGGTGCGCCGGCGGCGCGACGCGCGGTGAGGCGGCGGTCGGCGGGGCGCGGAGGGCGGGCCGGCCGGCGCGGCGGCAGCGCGCGGCGAGGCAGCGCTTTCTCCTTCTTTTTTTTTAAGAATCTGAGATTGTTGTGTGATGTATTTGATTTGTGTGTGATGTGAATATGTGATGAATTTTGTAAAAGTTGTGATGTAATTTTTTTTAAGATTTTATGATGTTTTTGAGTATTTGAGATGATCGATTTGTGGATTTGGAGACAATTTGAGGATGATTGATTTGGGATTTTGGGGACGGGATGGAGTGAAATCAATATATTTAAAAATAATGAAGAAAAGAATATAATAAAAAGGAACGGGAAAGAACAACCGGATTAGCCTCTTTAGTCCACCAACCGGGACTAAAGATGCTTTATCTTTAGTCCCTGTTAGTAACACCAACCGGGACAAAATCGATTTTTACCCTCGGTTTTTTCACCCGGGACTAAAAATAACGATATTTAGTCCTGGATTCGTAGTCCCGGTTCAAAAACCGGGACTATAGGGGGTTACGAACCGGGAGTAATAACCCTTTCTCCACCGGTGGATATTTAACAACAATTGTGCATAGTGGTTTGTGTTTATGCTCGTGTGGACCAACGGAATATGTTCCCAAGCCAAGATGTCACAAAATGCATGACTCTCACTCGTTTGGATGAGAAAGAACCTCTTCCCATTCTCTTGGCACATTCCATTCATTAATGTAGGCAATTCAGAAGGAAAGAGGAGGGGGGGTGGGGGGTGGGTTTAAAACGTGATCGACAGTAATTTGCATGTTTGGTAGACAACGTTTCTCAATTAGGAAAGGGGAACAGATAATGTGCTGTTTAAAATATAAAAAGTGCACCTTTTGCTGAAATCTTACTACTCTCGCGTTTCATATTATTAGTTGATTTAACTTTTGTTTTAGTCAAATTTATTTAATTTTGATCAAATTTATTAAAAAAGAAAACAACATTTTCAATACTGAACAACCATACTATAAAAATATATTTAATGTTTCAAAACTAATTTAGTGTTATAAGAGTTGCTACATTTCTCTTAAATTTTAGTCAAATTTATTGAAGTTTGATTTAGAAAAGAAAGAAAAAATCAAAACGACTAATCCTACATACTTATAAAGTTCATCTCCGCTAAGTGTAGTTAATACTATTTCTCACTTCTCTCATTAAGCCACATCACCCCCAATTATTTCTAGACTTTGGATGATTGATTTATGGTCTAAATTATCTCTTCTTTCTTCTCTCATAAAAACATGCAATCTCAATTATTTTTAGGCTCAAAATTGTATCAAATTATTTTAGCTTTGATAGTAAAACTACAATTTATTTGTACATATTATGTAACTTAATTTTCCGCAGCAACACGGTGGAGTATTCATCTAGTAGTATAAAGCAAAGGAGAGTATACAGCTAGTACTCCTTCGTTCCATATTGTGACTTGTGGTGAGGTCTTTTAGTTTTGTCCGCAAAAAAATAATTTTATCAAGTTTATGAAAAAATACATCAACATCTGTAATATGAAATTAGTTTATTAAAATTAACTATGAAATATGTCTTAGTAGTATACTTACTTGGTATTTAATTACTTTTTGTACAAATTAGGTCATATTACATAACTTGGTCATGTTAGAGAACTTTTGACTTTAGACAAAACTAAATTACCTTACATGGAACAGAGGGACAACAAAACGCAAAAGTATAACATAGAGTCATATATATAAAAGCATGCGTAGGTCATGGACATTAAATATTAGTTGATGGCCAAGACATGACATTTATATCTAAGATGTGATGTGAGATAAGAGGTATCTATACTATCTTTATAGTTGATGGCCAGTAATATAGATGGCCAAATGGGTCGCTCGGCATGGCTTGGCCCGAGCACAACCAAGGCACGGCCCAACCAACACGATGTGCCGGGCCGTGCCTACCCCGCACCAACAGCCCAGGTATGGCCCAGTCAGGCTCGAGCCGTGTCATGCTAGCCAGAAGACACAATTAGCCCAACGGGCCCATGCCAGACTAGGCAAGCTAAATCTGAGACACCTTGTACATCTCAGTTTTGCACAACAAATGCAAAGATGTAACTAAGTTACAACAAATTCATTCATAATTTTCACAACAAAGGGACCACATACATCACAATTCAATTATTCACAACTTCACAAATCTACACAAAGCCACAAAGGTAAAGATGAAAGTAGAACACATATTTCATTGATAAAGTAGGTGTAGGTGTGTAGTGCAATGGTTGCCTCGTTAAAAACCTTTCGAGGTAAAAACTCGCACCTCATGAGAAAACCCTAGAAAGGAAAAGAGTACAGACCACAGCTTTCAAATGTTCATAATAAAGTCTTACGAGTCCAATTACAGTCATCTAGTGTTTACATCATCATCAAGATACAAATTCTCAAAGTACTTTTGAAGCTCCATATTGTCCATGGTATGCCGAGCCTTTGCATCTCCGTCCTTGAGCAATGCCATCACTTGCACCATGTATATCACCCCACTTACATTTTCATCCTCGCTCCGTGTAAAAGAGTTAACCCGGGAGTGATATGGTTGGAAGGAAGAGGCTTTATAAGTTGGTTCCACCCTTGCAAAACTAGCAAGGTGGTATTAAACATGCGCACACAGCTCTCATGGACCACACAAGCCTCATCCTAATTGGGCCAGGATGTCACAACCAACTGGCAACTGAATTTGTTTCTTTTGCAGCAATAAGTCAAAAATCTTGTCGGCTTTATTAATGTCAAAGTCATATTTCTCCTCCTTGTTTGTATCCTTGACCCATTGACACATAGTTGTCTTCTTGACCTTAGACCACTCGGCCAAACTGATTTCAAGGTCTTGATCATCATCTGAGTCTGAAACACAACTATAAACATAGTTGACCTTCTTGAACTTTTTAGCCTCCTGGAATCTTTGTTCATGAGCCAATACCTTCTGAACATGGTGTGCTAAACTCTCAAAGTCTTGTGATGAAAATTTCTCCCTTATCGGCCCAATCAATCCCTGGAAAGCCAGATCAGCCAGTGGTGAATCAGCCAAATTTAAGCTAAAACATCTATTCCTTGTATCTCTAAATCTCTAAATATAATCTGGAAACGATTCATTAGCCTTCTACCTGATTACGGTCAAGTCTGATAACTTCATCTCTTGAACACCGCTGAAGAAGTATTTACGAAATTGTTTCTCTAGATCATGCTAACATCTGATAGAATTGTATGGTAAAGAAGAAACCAAGTGAAAGCCGATCCCGATAATGATAGAGGGAAAAACCTAATTCTCAGAGCCTCGACAGCCGATGCTTCACCACATTATGCCAAAAATGGCTAATATGCTCATATGTAGTCACATTATCCTGCCCTGAATACTTTGAGAAGTTTGGAATATTGTATCGGTTTGGCAATGACACTCTGCCAAAATATTCTGGATATGGATGCCGATACATGATCCCACTATCTTTAGGCTTAATCCTAAATTGTTCCCTTACCACATCTACAATCATATTGGCCAAAGGTTGCTGTTGAACTCCTCCTTGATGTTGCTGCTCATACTGATTATTTATTGGTTATGCTGGAGTTTGAACAAAAGGAAGTGTGTCCTGCCGATACTGCAATGGTGACAGCGGTTGGAATTGATTATTGATATTGAACCTTGGATTTTTCTAATACTGGAAAGCATTAGGGTTCGTGTTGCAATACTTGTAGACTCTTGCCATCTACTAAGACATAAGTGCTAAGCCTAACATGATCACCCTAATGCGGAATCCTTAGGTTACTGACCGTTGTTTGAAGCCATTGATGCTGTTTCCCTTGGTTTTGTCGGTGTAGAGGTAGTAGTGGTAGCAGTAGCAGTGTGAGAACCGGCTTGATCCCGAAGGGGTCGCCGGCGATCACCTGCGGGGTAGCGGCGGCCTTCCGGTCGCCACCTACACTGTCCCGGAACCACCACACGTTGTCCCTCCAGCACTCAACTTGATCGGATAGGGTTTTGGGAATTTTCGGGGAGAAGATGATCGTGGAGAGATCGTCACCTATCCACGACACCGGCCTCCCCTATTAGTATAGCGCCGAGGGAGATCAGGGGCAATCCAAATTATGGAAGGATTTGGCGCTACCGATCAATGCGCGTAATCACGTAGTTTTGGAAATTGAATCGCGTTAATCCTGGGTGGAAAACGGCGTCGAGATTTTGGCAATGGGTGGAAAACTGTCGTCCGAGA